TCAACTTGGGGTGATTGTGCTTCCTGGGGGGCATCTGGCACCATCTGAGATATTTTGTTCTTACACCTGGAGTGAGGTGCTACTGGCATCTAGTGGGTGGAGACCAGAGAAGCTGCTGAACAGCCAGGGATACACAGGACGCCCTCACCACAAAGACTTTCCTGCCCTCACGTTTGTAGCACTGAGGTTCAGGGAACCTGATCCAGAGCCAGCGAATGGGGCTGAATGAAGGGGTGTGTGGCAGGAGCCTGCCTTTGCCGAGCTGAATCTACACAGAGGTCACTTGGGCCAGAAGAGGGGGCTCAGGACAGGGAGACCGGTGGCAGGTGACCGCAGCTTCTAAGAGGGGGATAGGGTGAGTCCATCAACACAACATGTGGCCTCTGTGTTCAGAGGGAGGGAGGCAGGAGAGAGGGTGGCAGCGGGCACACACGTCCACTCACCCAGATCGGACAAAGTTGGAAAAGAACTGCATGATTTTCAACGACAGGCTCTTCTCCTCCAGAGTAAACTGCCCCTCGTAGACAGGATAGAAGGGAAGCCCGAAGGCATACTGAACATCTGCCAGCAATTCCAGGCTGAGGAAACATGTGGAAATAAGAAGAAGCAAATGTTAAAGGAATAATAAACTTCTAGAAAAGCCAAACGAGCCCCGAACCCAATATTTCTTCCCCAAATGAAGACTTTTCTTTCTTTACGTTTAGGATGCTGGTTTAGGGCTTTGTTTGCTTAGTTGAGATTGGGTTTGGCCTTTAATCCAACGGCCCCCTTGGAGCAGATCCGAGACACATCTGTTGGTTGAGGTGTCCCCAGTGTGGAGCACTTACCTCCCTGGAAACAATGCCCACAAGCAACTTTCCAGGAGAATGCTCTTTTGATTGCAACCATGATTCTTGCATTGTCGATGGAACATTGTCGAAATAGCCTGTGTTATGAGCCCTGCTCTGTGTTAGCCCTTGTTCCTACGACTTACACTCTCACACCTGCTCAAGGGTGGCATTCATCCACATAGTCTGGTGCCCGGCTCATCATTGCTGGTCCATAACCACATGCTATGATTGAACTGAATAGCCGGTAAGCAGCAGGCAGGGGGGTTGGAAATGAGGACTTAGAGGCCAGACAAGTGGTTTGAGTGATCTGGGCTGGAGCTGGTACCAGGGGGACCAGCCCAGGAGTCCCGGGGGCCATGAGGAGGAATGCTGGGAGTGTCACAGTGAAAAAGCTGGAAGGGACTTCACAACTGTGTAGTAAGGAATTTGACTTTTCCCAAACAGAAGCCTGGCCTGTGCACCCTGTGGCTGATACCTTTGTTTAGGGCAGAGGCTCAGCTTGTTGGATTTTCTATAAATGTGGTCACACTCTTGAGCCTTAGAGTGGAGGCTGATCAGGCCAAAAGGCCATGTGACTTAGGGTCACATGGTATCAGTGGGTCTGGAGACTGAGATTAGCCGCGGGCGATCAATCAACTAATCAGTCATGCCTATGTAGCAGGGCGCTAATAAAACCTCTGACCACCAGGTGTGGGTGAGCCTCCCTGGCTGGTGCTACTCTGCATCCGCTGTCATACTCCAGTGCCAACATAGTAACCCCTCCTGAGTCCACAGGGAATGGACTGGGGAGCTCTGTGTTGAGAACCCTCTTGGGGTCTCTGCTGTGCCACTCTTCCTTTGTCTGGTCTTAATCCACATCCTTTTCTTGTATAACTTTAACCGTGAGCATAGCAGCTTTCACTGAGGTCTGTGAGTCTTTCTAGAGGGTGGTCAAGCCTGAGGATGGTTTGGGGAAACCCCTGAATTTGCACTTGCTGTCAGAAGTGAGCGGGGTCTAGTGTGGAGACTGCACTCTCCAACCTTGTGGTTGGCCCCAACTTATGGCAAGATCCAACTCTAATTATACAGACGAGGGCAACAAAGTCCAGAGAGGTTTCCTGACTTACCCAGAGGTGTACAGGGGGGTGGGATCAGGAGCACGGCTAAGGGTGTGACTTAATGGGAGGCGCCCAGCCCAGAGGCACCATCCGGGTCTTAGTGGAGAGGTCCATTTACAAGCTGGTGACCTCTGGCAAGCTATGTGGCCTCCCTGATTCCCTGCTTCGCCACCTGTGCAGCAGGTACCTAATTAAATAATGGCTTCTGGTCATCACGAAGACAAGAATAAGACGGTGAATGTATGTAGCAGGTGCTCATAAGGTAAGGGGAGTGCCCTTTCTCGTCCATCCTTCTACTTCCCATGTAATCAACTGTCATCAGGCTAACAGCAGTGTCTTGGGCCAGGGGCTCCCCAGGGGTTCTCGTCTGTGCTGGGACAGCCAGCAGAGACACCAAGGTGCTGGGAAAGGGCACAGGCTAGCTGGACTTCTGAGGGGCACAGGGGCCAAAATCCCTCCTGAGACCATAAGCATGATCACCAGGCACACATATGACTGTCAACAGGGCATAGAGGGAGAGGCCTGGGCCTAAGTCATGAGGCTGAGTCAGCTCAGTCACTCACTGCTGGCATAACCCTAGATGAGTCACTTGACTGAGGTCTTAGTTCATTCATCATGAAACACTGGGCTGAAGCAGCCACGGCATGTGCAAGCTGGTTACGAGTGCTTTTCCTAAGTGCCTATTAGGTATTAGGGTATTAGGATGGTTATTGTGCGTCGACACGGCTCCACGCTGGGAGGTATCGTAGAAGGAATGGGAGACGGTGGGAGATAAACAGGACTAAAGGCACCGGGTTAGGAGGGGAATTTCAATCACAGATGGTGGCATCTCTTTGCAACCAGTGTCAGGCACCCTGCATCCATTTAGGGAAGGTTTATACTTTATTTCTGAAAGCAGAGCAAGAAGTGGCAGTGGCATTGAAATTTGTACCTCCTGGCACCCGAAGAACTAAGTCTTATGTCCGGTTTGCCAGAAGTATCTGTGGTCAGGCCCAGACAAGAGCCTAAAGGATCCAGAGCTGAGTCCCCCAGACCCTACATCTTGTTCTCTGCTTAGCTGTGGGCAGAGGGCGAGGATCACTTAAAAGGACTAGTGACCCGGCTTCTCAGGGATGTTGTAAGACTCAGAGGGAAAAGGAACACAGAACACAAAACGACAGGAAGATAGAAGTCACAGGGGCAATAAAAATCAGCCCTCATGGACCCGCACTGTGTGACTGACAAGCCCCCTTCACCACGGTTATCTCTGGGGCCTGAGAGTAGATATTCTTGGAGGGATCCGTAGAGAATTTATGCTGGAGGAGGGGGGCTCAGAGAGGCCATTTTCTTGCCAAGGCCCCACACCAGGAAGCGGCGACGCCAGACCCACGCCAGGTGTGTGATCCCAAGGCCGGCGGAGCCCCCGGCCTCACCCCACCCCTCGGGGGCTGCGGGGGATCCAGGGCAGCCTGGTCTCCTTCCTCTGCCCACCCCCCAACCCCAGGCCTTGCTCCTTGCTCAGCCGTGTGGAGTTCGAAGGTGGCCCTCCGCTCAGAGTTTTCAGGGAAAGTGACCACATGAGTTTTCCACTGCTGCCCTCAGAAACGACCACAAAATGGCTCATATCAACCCAAACATACTATTTCACAGTTTCCGGAGTTCAAAGGTCTCCCTGGGCTAAAATCCAGGTGTGAGCAGATGCTGTGCCTTCTGGAGGGAGAATGCGCCTCCACTCATGGGTTATGATAGAACTCGGTTCCTTGACGTGGAGGATCCAGGTTCCCCTTTCCTCCCCAGAAACGTGTGAGCTGAAGGCCGTGGCCCACTCCCGGAGGCTACTGTTGGTGGCTCCCCTCCTCTGCCCTCAAAGCCAGCACGCCGGGGCTCTGACACACTTCTCTCCCTCCCTCTGACACTTTGAAGGACTCATGTCCTTAGGTTGGGCCCCCCTGGATAATCCTGAATAATCCCCCATCTCGAGTCTGAACCACATGTGCCAAGTCCCTTTGCCACATAAGGTAACCTGTCCCTTCATTGCGGGCTTGGGGGGTTAGGACAGGAACCTTTTGAGGGGCCACCGTTCTGTCTACAACAGTGGTCTTGTCTGCCATTTCTCCCAAAGAAAGAAATGCTGTGGTGAACAGAGTCCAAACCCTAGCTCGATCTCAGTATCTGTTAAGTCTTGGACAAGATGCATAGTCTTCTTGGGCCTCGGTGTTCTCATGTGTACAAGAGTGACACACTCATGGTTCCAAACAGCGAGCGAGGTGTAGCCATAAAACATGTCAAATCTCTCACTCAGCTTCCAGCTCATACAAGCATTCCTTTTTCCTTGTCACCTGTGAGAAACACCCGAAAACTTATGAACAGGGAGACTGTAATCCGAGAGTTCCATTGCAGGGTTCCAGAGGGCCAAGAGTTATATGGGAACTTGTATGTGAAATGGTGTGACACTGCGTATCGACACTTTCTTGGGAGAGCCTTCAGAGCTTTTCTCACATTCTCAAGAAGATCTGTGCCTGTTAATATCATCATTCTGGGGAGCCTGGGAGGCCCAGTCGGTGAAGCGTCCGACTCTTGACTTAGGTTCAGGTCATGAACTCAGGGTCGGGAGCTCGAGCCCCACGATGGGCTCCACAGTGGGCAGGGAGTCTGCTTGAGATTCTCTCTTTCTCTCCCTCTCCCTCTGTTCCTATTTGTCATAAATAAATAAATAAATAAATAAATAAATAAATAAATAAATAAAACAATTGCCTTTTGCCAATTTCCGTGGTGTAAGTTTTCCTGCCACAGAGAATTTCAAACTACCAAGGTGACATCATGGAGCATGGGGTTTGGGGAAAGATAGCTCTTGTGAATGGGTGTGGGTCACCGCCAGCTGTCACAGAGACCCCAGCAGGTCACAGAGCACTGCTTTTGGGAGAAGGCCTGTCCTTCCAGCCCATCCCATCTGTTTAATCTGAGAGCCTGTTGTGTACGAGGACCTCTGCTTTGTTTTTTTCCCTAGCAGGGCTGATCTTTATCAGGATGCTGGAGTTATTTTGAGCAGTTTAAGGCAGACATTTGGAGGAAGGGCAGACAGTGTGAGCCAGTGGAAGACAGCATGTGGGATCAGAGGACCCTGGGCCCCAGCTGAGAGAGTTCCAGGGCATTTGGATTCAGTGTCAGCAGAGCGAGACGACAAAGAACACTCCAGGGATGGACAAGGTAAAGGGAGAAATTTGGTAGCTGACTGGCCGCGGTGCTGGCAGGTTGGGGCTCATAGTTCACACGTGTCGATTTGGCTTCTTTGTTCTGTGCTGGGGGTGATCACGTACATTCAGACCTGTGGTGGTCACGTGGGCATGTGGTCAAGCTGGTGTTACTTAGCTTTTAGTTGTCACTTGCCGTCTTTGGTAAGAACACTCCAGTCAACCTTTCCCTCAGCTGACAGCTACTCACTCGTCCCAGGCTGTGGCCGGGTCTGGATCTCCTCATCGTCACAGGTGGACATGGGGATGATGAGAGCTCCCTGCCTGAGTCAGCTCCAACCCCATTCTTGGTTTTCCTGTCTGTAAACAGGGTCTGATCACCTCTGTTCAGCCTTCCACATAGCATCCCTGGATGGTCCTCAACTGTTATGAATGGAAATTCCTCTAAAAATGACAAATTGTTATCCCAGGAAGAGCTATTGTTGCTGATGCTGGTGATGCTATGTTGAGCCGGGAAGAGTTGACCAGCCACGTGTCTCGGGGATGACTTTGTGTGTGTGTGTGTGTGTGTGTGTGTGTGTGTGTTTGAATACAGCTCAGTGAGGATAGGGCCAACACACTGGACAGTCAGAGCAAGACCCTACCAAGCCATGTGTGCCCAGGGCCTGCTGCGTGTGGTGCTCTGAACAGGTGCTGGGGAGAAGAGAGGTGTAAGCCAGCCATCTGGCACGGCTCTCGGTCTAACAGGCAATGCAGAGAAGCTGATATTTTTTCATTTTTTAAAGATGTAGGATAGATAGATATCAAAGGGTGAGATTATTTACAACACCTACAAGAAGAGAGAGAGAAGCGATGCCACCTGTTTCAGGGAAAGGCATGAAGAGGAGTTCAGGGAAAGACAGAGAGAGGAAATCCTCAGGGTTGACCTGCACCTTGAAAAACAAGTAGAGGTTTAGGGAGTGGGTGAGGCGGGGAAGGGCTTTTTGAGGGGAGTCATGGGGTGGCTTCTATGAGCAAAGCCAGGGAAGTGTGGCAGGGCAGGGACCCCCTGCAGTAGGTAACAGATTCCCAAAGCTCTGGGTCTTGTCTATTGTCCTGAGAAGCGCATCACACTGAAAAGTAAAATTGGGATTTTTCCTGGTCCAGGGAATCCCCGAGTTTGGGGTTGACTACACTGCAGGTCCCGCAGGTCCTTCAGCTCGGGTTCTGTGGAAGGTGTGAGTACCAAGGCCGGAGGAATCGAAGGCCACATCTTCAAGGAGATGGGGGGGGACATCGGCGGCTTCTAAGCAAGTGAGCTGCAAGCTGTGTTTCTTCTAGAATCATCCCTGGAGTGGCGTGGGGAGAAAGACTTGAATTGAGATATCATGGGCTTGCTGCATTTGTCCAGGGCAGGCGGCAGGTTAGTTCTGTTTACATCATGCTCCCCAGCCTTCCTGTTTGGCCATCCTCATCATCTGAGATCCCTCTGGTGTGCGCTGCAGGGAGGCCAGGCTGCATTCTGGTCAGCCACTAGCCACATTTCAGAGACAAGCTCCTGACTTGAGCTCTGCTTCTGGTGGAGTCCATGACCATTTGGGGCTGATTAGGGAGCATGAGGAGCTAGGCAGTGTCCCCAGAGGGAATGACCCTGGCTGGGCTCCCTTCAAGGTGAGGAGAGCCAGGGGGTAGGTTGTTCCTGTAAGGACCACTGACCACAGGTTGAAGAGGCTTGTGCTGTAGAGAGGCTCCCTGCTCCAGCCCATCTGATCCACTGATATGAGAGCCTGTTTTTCCAGACATCTATCCCCGTTGTCCTATCTGCAGGAGGAAGTTTGTTGACCTCATCCCCATTAAAATATACTCCCTTTCTTATCTCTAGCTGGTATCTCTAAATAACTTCCTCCAACGGAAACTCCGAAACTCAGGAGGGAGCAAGAAGGAATGGAAATCCATTTGCTTCCCAGGCTTTTTATTTTTATTTTTATTTTTTATTTTTTATTTTAAGGAGTTGAGACAGTGTTAACTAACTTAAAATGAGAAGCCTGGGACTGTGCTTCTCTTGGGGCCAATCTAATATGCAAAAGTTTAGTTCTGCCTATAAAATATCAGGAGGCAATTGCGTACTTTACAAATGGCTTTTGTTTTGCAAAAAGATTCAGCATGTATTCTTTAAAAAAAAAAAAAAAGAGGAGCTCTCTGATTTACTTTAAGTAATACAACCCTTTCCTCAGCCCCAAATGAAATACTTGAATATTTTCAGCTCCCAAAGCCCAGCAAAGCTGAATGATAATGCCGGTTTGTGGTAGAGGCAAAGCTTTCGGTGGACCTGGTATGTGAACATGGACATTTTGTTTGTTTTAAATTATTTTAAAAATAAAATCTACAGCCAATGTGGGGCTCAAACTCATGACCCCAAGATCAAAAGTCCCATGCTTTACTGACTGAGCCAGTCAAGCGCCCCAAAACTTGGACATTTTATTTCCCACATAAAGCATAAAGACCACTGCTCAGAAAAGGCTGAATTTTCCAGGCCCGACGCATTCCTTCTCACCAGGAAGTTCTGTGTTTACCAAGAGCCAACTGTGTTTGTCTCAAACCTGTTTATGCCAGTTGTATTTGTCTTTGTAATTATAGAACTTAATTAATTAAATATCACGTGGGTACCCCATTTTCAAGAAACCAAAGCTGGAAATCATAGGCCATGCATTACGTTCACGGTTTTGCAAGAATTTCAAAGGGAGCACTTTCTGACTCGAGCTTCCCACCCTGCCCTGACAGATTACTAGATGAATCCACTTTTTTGTGCACCGAGAGACAGTAGTATATTTAAGGTATATCCCTACCTTCTCCTTTTCTCATCAGTTTTTGTCATAACTGACTTTTCTGATTAACCAACTGATCATCACACTGAACAACAGGATTCCTATTCTATGTTCTATTAAAAAACACACCTGGTTTTCATTGAGCTGTTTTCAGTGAGAAAGAAAAGACCAATGTGCACTTCATAGGGCAGTTTTTTGAACTTACTCTGCTTACTGTGAGTGCATTGTCTGTTCTCTGCACCTCATCCTGAGGTGTTCATCAGTCTCACCCCCTAATTATAATGTTCACCCCAAGGGGACAGCCTCTCTCTATCCATCTCTAGGATCTGGGTCACAGGCAAACATTTGTTGAATCCATGTTGAAAAGGACACATGGCACCAGCCCTTCGATATCACCAGGTTGGAGGGGTCAGTTCTAGAAAATGATTTACCTCCATCTTTACTGGTAAATCATCGTGTTAATCACACCAGATGTAGCCAGGCCAATGGACTCAATTCAAGAATCCAGCCACTTAATATTTTCTTTGGTTTGCTAATTCCAGCAAACTCAACAAGACAGTCAACTAAAAAGATAATATTTTGAATCTGGAATGTTAAATGCCTCTGGAATGCACACACATGTCTAGCATGCAAATGTAGTGGCGTACAAAATGTCTTGAGTCTAGAATTTATGACTTTGTTTTCTAGGGTTGGGACAATTTATAAAGGAAGAACATTACTGCCTCTTAAGTCATTTTGATTTTTTTTTTCTTCTTAGGGTCTTATTTTTCCAGAGGCAAAAGTAACCTTAATATTGAACATTTAGAATAGGCCAGGTTTTTGACATACATTGACTTGAATCTTCATACTAGGAGGTAGATGTATCTATACCCATTTTGTAGGTGGGGAAACTGAGAAAAAATCTTGCTCAAATGCAGGTAGTTAATGAACGAAAGAGATGGAATCAAAACCCCAGTTGATCTAACATTAAAGGATGAGTTCTTCCATTAGGCTGAACGGCTTCTCCCCAAGTTAAAGAATTGTCCGGCATCCTACATGGATGTGTAATCCCAAGATCCCTACCCCATTCCCATTCAAAGAGAAGTCAAGACCCATCTCTCTGAACTGCCTTCTGCACTGTTAAAGTGTGGGAATGATATCTCGGGACTCTGGAACTAAGGACTTTGAAACAAGGCCTTGACCGCAGCACACAATTCAAGCACGACAGCCCACACACAGCCCCACAGTGAATTTCCATGGAAACTCTGAACTGGCATCAGGGATCTTATGATGAAGGGCCCCCATATGGCCTCTGAAGTGGCCACAGCTCCTCTCTCAGTGGCTGGTACCCAGAAACCACCTCCTCTGTGGTTGTTTTCTCTGGGACCTGTTCATCTGCAATGTGGATTCTTTCAGCATAACCCATTAAACAGTGTTGGAAGTCACCTAACACGAGCACCAAGTTTATGCTGGGCAGTTAGCTGGGCAGTCTGCACATACTGCCTTACTTAATACTGACACACTCCTACAGTTGTGTTATTACTAGCTCCATCACCTAAATGAGGAAATGGAAGCTTCAAGAGGTTGTCACCAGCCCAGAGGTATGCAGTAAGTGGTGCACCTAGGTAGAGCTATCTAAGGACGGGCAACATCAGAGAGTCATTCAGTGTCCCCTTGCACACCTGCTGGGACCCGGCTCCCAGAATAGGCTTGTAGGGAGGGTCCCCCAGACCCGGGCTGGCCAGGAGGTCTGGAGGTCCTTTGGCCAAGGGCTGCAGAGAATGGAGTGAGGGCTCCTCCCGAGAAGACACTTGGACCACTCTGTCCTTTGGAAGGGGCTGGTTCAAGAGAAGGAAGTCAACTGAGAATCCACAAGTTGGCAAAGCAGGAGACTGGCAGGGAGGGAAGCATCCTAGCTGAGTTCGGGAAGTGGTGCCTGGAGACAGAGCCAGCCTGAAGATCCCCCTTGGCCTCTGACTTGGGAAGGGAAGTTCACAGCCCTGCGGGTGTGAACAGGGGAAAGAGGCCTGTCAGCCTTCCAGGTCAGCTGGGTGCACCAGTCACGCTCCATTCCCCTGGTGCACCACGGTCTGCCTGGACGGGCTCCCACGGGGTCAGGGGCAGTGTGTGCGGGTGGATGAGTCCGGCACTTATGAGGGACAAGCCTGGGAAAGGGGCTGCCTCTTCCCTCAGGTGCTATTAGTAATAACCTCCACTTTGGTGGAATCCTCCA